GAGTGGGGAACTCAGTGGCGACGGTGGTGAAGCATGACGGTGGCGAAATCGACGTAAAATCGTGATAAGGTTCACGACGACGATGGTTTTATCGGAGCATTCAAAGGTCGATTTACAATAACCGAGGGCTTTATACGATGAACGGTTTGAGGGGTTTTGTTTGTGGGTGGACGCCGGTTACAATGGTATCGGCGGTGCACGACACGGTGGTCGGATGACGTCGGTTTGAGACAGAGACGACGATAATTAGGGTATACAAAATTTAGGGGAAATTGGTTCAATCCAAGTCGGGGGCTATTATTCACTAACCATTAAAAAGGGATAATTTGGGTTTAAGTCCTTGAGTTTTCCACAAGTTTCAAAACCAAGCTGTAACTTTTAAAAATTTATGATTTAGTCCTTAAATTTCTCCCTTATTACGACTTTAATTCGATACTTAAAATTTAGCCCATAAATTGGGGTGTGACAAATTTAATGGATTAAGGATCTAATTCAACAGAGTCTAATAGTGGCAGGGCTGCATGCATAATTTACTCTAAAGTTAAGAAAACATGCAGATCCTATATGGACGATCGAGTCGGTTTGGATGGGGCAACCGCTTATTTAAGTTAAATGTAACCTAGAATTCATTTATTGTTTTCATTCGTTTTTAACGCTTATGAGGAGCTCGAAGGCTACTGCACCTCCATAATAATAATTAAAATTACTAACCCTACAACATATTTCCACACATTCTACTGCACATTCAAGTCCTAGGTAAACTGATTTATGATTCATTTTGTAGTAACATTCATTAATGCTGTATAGTTGATATCATCGTTACTAATTAACAAATAACAAAACAACCTGCTCGTGCCTACATTACAACAATAAAGAAAACAAATATAGTTTTATTAATATTTCCATGTAATAAAAACACAATACATCTTTATTAATATTTGGATACATATTTTTTCCCTCATCATGAGTTTTATTAAAATAAAACCCTACTTAGATTGCAAGCTTCGTTAAAAACCTCCCTAGATCAATACATTATTAAATTAAGCATACGTGACTAGTGCTTTTTTCCCGCCGTAGAACGATTTGTTCGACCTATTACAATCTATAAAATGTTGGCCCGTCATATCCACGCATACTACAACTTCGGTTAAAACAATGGGTCCCATTTGGCATATGAAAACACTTAATCATGACATTTTTTATTATTGACAATTCCACATATTTTTCTCCTAAAATAGTTTGCGGGGCGCTTGGATGTCCTCATGCTAGACAAGGAGCGTCCCAAACCAATTCTCTTGTTATTTTATCCCCATCGAGAAGTACTAATTAGGATAACTGGATTGGCGCACGTCCCATGTTTTCTCCATTCGTGATTCCAGAAATTCCTGATTATTGCTGAAGGTGAGGCTATACCAAAACTTGTCCATCTCAACTGATAATGAACTATCAATCGATTGATTAAAATGTTAATTAGACCACGATGTTAGAGAATAAGAAGGAAACAACGAGAATGTCATACCTTAGGCTTTTTGTTGCTAAGTCGGTTTTGATCGCATGGTCCTCTGAGTGTAGAATCAGAACTATCCGCCGGCCAAAGTCCTTGAACTATCACATCTTACTTAATAACATTTGTACAATGACTACAAGCGCAATATCCGAATGAGAATGTTTGAACCATCCAAAGGTGGTTTTGGCCCTGGACAGTAATAACCATTACTAATGAACCAATCAGAACAAGAACAAGATTGATTTCTTTCATTTTCCTATTGATCGTTGTAAGTTTTCTAGGATTAATCATCTTGCTGATATTGTATTTATAGTTATACAAGAATTAATGACAAGGGTTGGCAAGCAAAACAATGCATGGGATGTCATGAGAAAGGAAAGGTGAACATGATGCACTAGATGTTATAAGAGATAGAAAGGGTGTTTGGTGATCTCAACATGGAGTGTTATAAGACAGAAAGTTTGGCAAAAACAAAGCATGAGGTCAATTAATTTTTTCGTTACTCCTTGTATTATACAAAAAATGTATATTTTAATTAGGAAATCTTAATTCTTACACCTTTACAATTCTAAATTTCAATCTTTGTTCGTTCAACGATACAAGAGTATTATAATTAAATTTAAACCATAATTTAAAAACATACTATAAGTAAATTATTACGTGTTTAGAAAATGATAATTATACGTATTTGAAAACAATCATACTAAATCCATACAAATATATCAATTCAAGTCATATTACATGATAATTATTTGTGTAACCAATCATCTTGTAAGAAAACATCTCAACTTGTGTCTATAAAAAATTAGCTGACCCTTATTCTCATATGTAATGGGGTAAGGGGAGGTAGGATATAGGCTGCCTCCAACGCCAGGTTGAGAGCAACTTCCGTAGGAAACCTCCGAATTATGAAATGCCTTCCGTGGACTCGATCCCACGACCCCAAGGTTAAGAACTCGTGCTCTACCAACTGAGCTGATGGTCATAAAATTGTAGTTTTCCACTCGTGTCTATAAACATTAACCTATTTTATTCTCTGTCTGTCGGTAGAAACAAGACTCTCCTCGTAATTCCAGATAAAACTAACTCCGCAGTCCTGCTTGCATTTAACTCCTGTATCTATGAATTCATGAGTTTGTAGGTCATAAAGCTGTAGTTTTCCACTCGTACAATGTACAAATATCTTATTATAACCTTTGCTCATATTCCAAAATCCGGACACCTCATGAACCTCGATAAGTGGCCCAATTGTTAAAAGTTTGGTCCAATACTGACCTTGGCCTTGCTCGCTCAACACCCAAATGTCATGATTTGATGTGTAGCTGTTTTTATTTGAATCGGAAATGCACAAAGAGATACGATCGATGTTTGGTATTACGATCAAATCGCCAATCCATTTTCTGTGTATCAGGAATAGTGGCCATTCTATCATTTCAAGCACTTCTTTGGTAAAATCAAAAGCAAGGACCTTATATAAATCGAAACGAACTTTAGATTTATCGGAGACTACCCAATAATAAATGCCACTTACACATGCATTGCTATAATTCGTAAATGTCTGTCCGTTGAAGCAGGTCAAGCTCTTGTCTTTTAATGCCCCATGAATCTGTACTCATTTTGTAAACAAACACCGATACGGTGTCTTTTTTTTTTCCAAGTGAACACAAACAAATTACCTTGTAATCATGTAAAATAGGATCCGACCCGAACCCATGAATAATCGAATGTTTTTATTGTTTAGGTCTTACGACATTTAGAAAGAAATCTAATTTCTCTCGTCGTAGGATTCCATAACCATAAACATAAATTTACGCTGCTTATACAAAGTAAACCATCATAAACACAGATTGATCCACAGCCCATATCGTAAAATCCTGGGTACAGATCATCGAAAGATGCAAGTGTTTGATCATGAAACGAACGAAGCACATTTTGTCATCATATTCGTCCGTATAGTATAAGAAGTCGTTGATTTTTCGTATTCTTTTTACTAATGCTAAGGTGTTGGGAAACAATTTGAGTTGTCGAAAAGACCTCCAAGTTGTTGATACGAACTTAAATCGAATGATTGACTTTACAGGGAGCCTGAGAAGAATCGACGTCGTCAGATCTTCAACCCAATGCTCATTGCATTTTAGAGCCATTAGCCCATTAGCTTAACCTCTTTCGATGAAAATTGAATAAATAAATTTTGTTTTCTAGTTTGGGCTAATCCTCGATTTCTCACGCATTGTCTAATTTCTTTAAATAGAAATAAAACCCTGATAAAGTTGCGAATTTTTTTAATTTGAAAAACCAATCGATAGGAGCCAATCATTTTTTTTTTAATTTTTGGTTTTGCGTATTAAATAATTGAGAAATGGGCATGATTTGTGGGCCAATTAATGCTTGCTTAGTTGGTTCGCTATAGTATTTTTTGGTTTAATTATGCCTCAGTCCCTGTGTGCTTTGATCTTTTGAATTCTAGTCTCTATACTTTTGATTTCATGAATTATGTCTTTCTACTTGTCTGATTTAAAAGTTAAAGAATAATATACATCATCGGTCTAGCATGTTAAGTTCGTACTTGACATATTATGGCACTTACTAATGAACGAGATTATGCTAGAAGAAAATGCATGATTGAAATTAGAATATGGTTGTTCATCGACTGATAATGTTAACTGTTAATTGTGTTTGGCGATGTTTATAGATTAGATTAAGTTTTAGTTTATTCGAATATAATTTGAGTATAATATTTCTTCACTTCAGTGACGAGTAAAAAAAATTATTGAATGAAACAATATAAATATAATAAAAAGATTTATCTAACATAATTCGTATAGACTTTTTAATTTAAAATATAATAACAACTATACATTTAAACATAATCTACAAAATATCAATTAGACTAATATAATTTTTAACATAATTTATACATAATTTTATTTAAAATTATTTTTATTTTTTTCAACATAAATCTACCTGATCTTATCCTTAAAAAATATCAATTCAATCCAAATTCAATTTTCTTTTAGAAAATTGATCTTATAAAATTTAGATTTGAATGAAATTCATCAAATTCATATAAAATATTCTTTCTAATTGTATCGTTAAGACCACTATTTTTTTAAAAGTTAAACTACACAATGGTCACTAATGTTTGAGTATCTTCGTTTTTTTCATTGAAGTTTCAAAAGTAATAAATTAATCATTAATGTTATTGATTTATAATAAAATAATCACTTAACCGTCATCCACGTTAAGTTGATGATGTGATAATGTTAATAGAAAATTAATATTTAGTTTACCCCTAAACTACTGCTAAAATATTAAATAGGTCATTGGACGATAATTTTATATCTAATTTATTCCCTAAAAATTGCTAATTTCCATTTTAGCATGCACCAACAGATTTTTAGCAATTAAACTTTTGCATGGATAAAAGAGTAATGAGCAACAACATATAAATCATAAAACATTCAGCAGATTACAAGAAATCAATGTTCTGTGTTCTTTTTTGAAACATAAATGCGATCCCGCGGACAAGAAACCTATATATTACAGACATGCCCTAAGAGGAGCTAAACAAAGGTTTTCAAGATTGTTCTATGGATTCTGGAAATATCTCACGCGTGCTTATCATCGACAATGGCTGCTCAGAATCATGCAAATATGCTCAAGGACCTCTCTTATTTGGTCCATTTTCAGTAGTCTGAATTACCGTGAGCTGTGACCTGGAAACACGAGTTATCAAGTTTAGTAAGAACAAGTTGCGAGATGGTGTTCGTTTGAAACTCATTCAGGGAAAATGAAGAATTTTCAAGTTACCTTCCAACAGTATCGTTGCCTGAATCCATCCTTATTGTCAATCTTTTGGCTGTCTTCATAAAGCACTGCAATACCGAAGAGATGGAGAAAATTGTGTCAAATATAACATGAAGAAGGTAACTGCTGAGAAAACCTGGAATTTAGATGTTTCAATTTCACTGTTCTCGAGTCGGTAAGATTAGGAGACCAAAATAAAAATGGGAGTTTTGAAATTAATACCTGAATGGTTCATCCCCAATTTGTTTGAAAGCACCGGTCGCATCTTGGTCCAACACATGGCCTAACATCTCTGACCTTTCTACTCCAAATATGTTGGCTAATTTCAGGTATAGCTCTTCATATGAACCAAGAACCGAGAGGTCAAGGGTTCGTCCCACGTCGTCTGACTCTAAGAATACCTTGCAATGACCAGTATCCAGGCAGAATTCTGTAATCCGATAGTTCCGGTTCCACAAAATTCCAGCAGTCGATGACTTCGCTGGAGAATATTGATTCTCCAGAGCAGATGCAGAACCATCAGACAAATCTTTTGTTCTGTCTGGAATACCATCGAATTAACTCTTTTTGGTGATAACTTGAGAGACAGTTTCAGTTGAGAGCTGTTGCTTGGTAAGTATTAGCTGACCAAAGAGTAAAAACTGATGCCGTTTTCCATTACCAGATTTCTCCTTTATAAAATTTATTACTTAGAAAAGTTTTGGGGAGTAAATTACATATATTGAGGACCTATTTAATGATTTAGTATTAGTTTAAGAGTAAAATTAAATATTATTTTTTTTGTTAATATTGCACACCATCAATTTAATGTGAATAACGATAGAGTAAACATTTTGTTATAAATTAATAATGTTAATAATTAATACGTTAAATTTTAAAATTTCATTATAAAAAATAAAAATTTATTTAAACATTAATGATCATTTGTATAATTTACCTCTTTTTTTTAAATGCTCTATCAATAATTCTTAATTTTCATCAATTAAATTAACACTCCGTCGACATTTAAAATTATAATACAATTTAAAACTAAAAAAATCTAAAGAAAAAGTTGAATTATGAACATCACTGGAAAATAATCTTATGACAAGTGTCGGTCGGTCGTTGTTGGTAAAGTAACTAATTAGTACAGAGACAAAGTAATCAATTTCAGTGATTTCCAAATCCTGTCACTAAATTCAAAAGGAGCAAAAAATACATTTTCATCCCCAATTTTCATATGCTTAAAATAGCAAAAATCTTGACAACCATTTCATTACAAGGCCAATAATGTCCTTTTCAATTAATCAAAGCTCCAACAAGGATACCATTTTTGTCCTTTTCTATTCATTTATTTATTTCGTCGGTTATTGAAATCGTCCATAAATTCGTACATCTTATAAGACCCTACGAGGATATTATAAGATAAGGACGAGACATTTGAAAAAACCACATAAATAAAAAGTTTATAAAATATTATGTCATGATATTATATATTTAATTAATTGTAAGTTGATATAATGTAAAGAGACATCAAGTCTTTAAGAAAAACAAATAAAGGTTTTAATTATCATAGTGTGAATGAAAAAATTGAATTAGAAATATTAATTTTGTAATAGATTTATGTAATATAATAATATTGTACATTCTAGGGTGCTTAATTGAGCAGCTCGAACAAGACTCGATTAAAACTCGACTCGAACTCGAGCTAAACTCGAGACCTTAACGAGTTGAGTTGACTAAAGCCCAACTCGACTCGATAAGTTATCGAGCAGCTCGTTAATTTCTTTAATAATTATCTTAAAAAATTATTCTATTAAAAAATTACTAATTTACTCATAGATACTAAAAAAAGATAAATTATTAATTTATTAATTATTTAATAAACAACAGAAATGTTAAATTATTAATATTTTACTACATTAAAAAATAAACTCTATTTATTATTTTGATATATTTGTAGATTGTTACTTTATTATTTAGACAAATGCTTCGTACACTCTTTTGATGATTTTTGTTGTTAAATTTATTTATTTATGTTTATATTAAGCTCTGTATAGTGTATTAGTAGATTTTACCTATAGTTAAAAATATAAGGTAAAAATTTTAGTGAGGTTAACAAGCAACGAGGCAAGCAACGAGCATTGAGCTTAACGAGCAAAGAGGCGAGCAACGAGCAACAAGTTTTTTTAATGAGCACGAGTCGAGCAAAATTTTAACAAGCTTAATAACAACGAGTTAAATCGAGCAACAAAATTTTTAACGAGCACAAGTCGACACAACCTAACTCGTGATCGACTTAATTGATAAGCACCCCTAATACATTCTATTAAATATATTTTGAGAGAAAATATTAATTCTATGGTAAATAGTATTATTTTTTTATTTGTATGATTTTACGTTGAACGTCCCAATACGTATAAGAAAGATTGATAACTATGATAATAGTATGTAATATTACGATATTGAGTGGGAGGCATTAATCTTATATCAAAAAGAAAAAAGAGAAGTCTTGAAATATAGCGCCCTGTCTAAAATAATTGTCTCATGACAAATCACCCTAACTAGGTATGGGGATGCAACCTAGACTCCTCAGATTCGACCAGATTGATCCTGTAGTATTAGGTAACGTCTTATCTAAAATAATATTCTCATGACACATCACCCTACTAAAGATGATCATGTGACCTAGACTCGACAGATTTCGACCAGATTGATCTTGGGTTTTTTTTTTAAGAATAAAATCGAGTTGAATTCACATTTAGGATGAAAAATTTCTTACTTAATTTGAGATTATAGTATAATTGTAACTTATATGTTTAGAGATAATTGCAATAATACCTCATCCTTATATATATTTTTAACTAGGCATTTATTTTATCAAATAAATTATAATTATATATATATCGAGTCTTATCTAGTTGGCCATGTGTGAGTTTTTATCTAAAAAATTGTATCAAGTTTCAAGTCTTGAAAAATCTCCCTACTATTGTTTACTATGTTAAGGATAACAAGTTTGATGTCTTTTACATTTTAAATTTAAATATTATAGATGAAAAAGATTTAATTTTATTAAACTCCACACTTAATTTAATATTTGTTCTAAAGATTCTTCATTATTTGACAATAAAATTCATACACCATTGTAGTTTATGGTGCTTAACCTGAGACTTTTACAAATAATAATTATCCCTTTAAGCATTGAGATAATTTGGTTCGTGTTAGGTCATATTATAGATAACTTAATGTTGTTCAATAATAATCTCAAGTTTGAATTTTATGAACGAAATGATAAAAGAGTTTAATTCCATTATAAATTTTAATTTATTCAGATTTTATTTATTAGTTTGAGTGATTATAAAATAATATATGTTTATAATTCTTTTAAGTTATTGATAACATACACCGTACATATATAATTGCTCAAACCCAAACCTAAAAAAGAATGATACATTCTTTAACTACTAAAATTATTTAATAGATTCAATCTAACTCGATTTTAAATTTAATCGAATCATTGTAATCATCTACCAACGATATTTTTTTTTAAAAATATTTAAATCATGCAATAATATTAGCCATCCAGCAAAGGTGGGGGACCCTAAAACTTATAATTAGAGCCAAAAACACAGCTGTAGTAACCATTATGGTGAAAGCAGTCAGACAGAGACTGCACCTCAGCCACTTATCAGTGAACCCATCACTTTGTTGTTCGATATATAAATACAAAATCCAATGGGATTGTCTCAACTCTCAACATATATAAATATAAATATTTATTTTATTTAAAATAAATTATTCAGTTATCTAAAGCTAATTTGTATATTACAGTAATAACACAATAAAAATACACAAAACACAACATTATGGCAGCATCACTGTTAAAGGTACTCATCTTGGTAGACCCATTATCATTGTTGTTTATGGCAGCAATGATGACAGAGTTAGGAAGCTTCTTTGGCAGCAACTTCAAGATTTAGATAGAACTTATGGTCATTTTCCTCGGATTCTTGGAGGAAACTTCAATGTAATCCTTAATTCAAATGAGAGGTCTGACTATGAAATCTTTGGTCCTTATATTTTTCCTGATATGAGAGATTTTAAGGATACCCTTTCTGACCTTGACCTTTTCAATCACCCTTATTTTGGCCCTTCTTTTATTTGGAGCAACAAACAACAAAATTCATACCTTGCAAAGAAGCTAGATAGAGTTCTTATTAATCAAAATTGGGCGAATTCCTTTTCTTCTTCACATGTAGAGTTCCTGGCTCCCTGCACTTCCGATCACTGTCTTGCTATTCTATGGCTTGACAAAGAGGTACATGCTAATCGTCCAAAGCCCTTTAAATTTTTAATTTTTGGACCCAACACCCGAACTTCTTAAATGTTGTTTCTCAATCCTGGAAATGTCCTGCAGCTGGTAATCCTATGCAAATCCTTTTTACCAGTCTGAAACGACTGAAAGTTCACCTTAAGGATCTGAACCTTACCTGTTATAGTAATCTTTCTGATCGGGTAAAATAAAAGAGAACTGAATTAGAGCAGCATCAACTAAAGACGCTTAGAGGTGAGGTTGTTATTGAGGAGGAGTTTCTTTTGCAAACCGAATTAAAGATCATGGAAGATGCTGAAGCTATGTTTTTAAAACAAAAAGCCAAAGTGCAATGGCTAAAAGATGGTGATAAGTGCACTAAGTTTTTTCACTCTGTTGTTGCTTTTAAGAAGAAAAGAGACACCATTAGAGTTCTAGTGTGTAACATCTCAAACAACGGGTTAGTGACTAAATTGTAAAAATTTAGAATTTGGTGATTAAGGTAGAATAATTGAATAGTTCAAAAATGATTGTTAGTAAATATGAAAAGAATTAAAGGACAAAATGGTCATTTGCAAGGTAAAATAATTAAAATTTTGGATGGGTTTATATTAACCCACGTGGAAGAGAAAGGAAGGCAAAAATTGGTTCCAAGTTCTATTTCTCTTCTTCTCCTTGTTTGTCTCTTCTTCACGGTGGCTTTGGGCTACAAGGTAAGTTGGATTTTTATGGTTACTTTATGGAATTTTAAAGAGGGTTTTGATTGTTTAGATGTTATATAAGCTAAAGGAAAGCTTATATGACATTAAAACAACAAGATAAATATTTTAGAGATAGATTTGAAAAATGGGTTTTTAGATGAAATTTTGATATGTATGAGTTTTTGAAGTTTGAATAAGATTTTTGACTTGTCAAGAGGTTAAGTAAGGAATGTGGAGTATTAGAATTGATTAATAACATGTTTGAATTTCGGGTTTGAACAGTAAAATTTACATATTATGCAGAGGGAATCGATTTCCCCTAAAGGAAAATATTGAAGTTTGGTTTATTAAATTAATCTAAGTTGTTAGTATCAAATTACAATGGTTAGGCTTCTGATAACCATCTTGAAAATTATGTTTATGTAGATATAAAACGTAATCCTATTCCGGAACAATCGAAGAGTTAGAATTGAATCAACGAAAGCGAGGCCAAGGTGAGTGCATATTATCATTATAGTACAATGGAATAAGACTTGTGATAAGTCTAAATCCTATGTTGATTTTTATAGTAAAATAGTTATGAACATGCATACATGATAATTATTATGATACATGCATAAGGCATATATGTTCATATGATTCGATAAATTATATATG